CAGGCGGCAGACGGCAAGCGGCCGTTGGCCTTATTAGGTTGTCCTAAGGAACAACGCTTAGCTGCTAAATTTTAAGACTTAGCTTAGATCTACTCATGTTGGAGTAGACGTTTTTTAAAAAGCATGCGGCCATTGGCCTTAGCAGGCGGCATGCGGCCATTGGCCATTAGCAGGCGGCATGCGGCCATTAGGCATGCTGGCTGATCAAGAGGCCAATTAGTGGCATAATGTCGCATGTCTCTTGCTCTCGTAAGGTTACATTGGACTTGCTGTTTTGAAGATAATGGTTGCCAAGTAGCCCCTACAGGCGCACAACCATTCGTCTTGGTAGTGGAGCCGCTTGCGTATGCTAACCCAAGGACAAGGATAGTGCCATCTGTCTCCCTTGAGTGCAATAGCATACTTTCGGCATGGGTAGTGCCAACTGTATCATCATTGAGGAACCTCACTAAGTGTAGGTCACCTTCATTCCCTTAATTAGGATGCCGCCTGTCTAAGCATAGGACCTTTTGACCTCATGATGCCTGTAGTGCTTGACATTTGGCCTCATGGTGTCTGATGTGCTTGACAGTTGGCCTGATGACGCTTGTATTACTTGGTCGTCTTGACGCTTTCACATTAGAAGGTTATTTCCTTGAGAACACAAATGGTTGTTCCTCAAGTTTTTTGCGGACGGAGCTGCTTGTCCAGAGGTTGTACGCTTTGTTCCGCCTGTCCCCTGAAGGGGGCCGGCTGCATACATGGTTGTCCATACGGCATGTATGGCTGCTGAGGCGCATACTGTGCCGAATGGATTATCTAAGGGCCAAAATGGACGGACAAGCTTCCTGTCTGACTCCCTCGGTTTGATTGTGAATAACTCATTGAGGTATTCTGGAAGCCGTCTGGGAAGGTCGACGTTGAAGTCGACTCAGACATTTTGGATGGGGAGGAGGCACTCGGTCTTTGACCTCCCCCTTAGGCCGCCTTCTATCAGCAGGCAGTACAGACTGCTGTGAAGTCATCTCAGTAGTACTCTCCCCACAGACGGCGCCACCTGTTTCAGGGTGTTATGGATCCGCGTGATCCTTACATGGTATGGTACAGGCAGATTACACGCCTTTTCATCAACCCTACCTACACGCCACCGTCCACGCACTACCATCCAGCTTATGATGTTATCAGCGGACTTGTGAGTTTATTTCATTTTCTTGTTTTCCAAAATTATTTGAAATTCTATATCATATTACTAAGTCATGGATGATTACTACAGGCGAGGGATATGGGTGCGATGGTTGATGCACTTTCAGATGCCTTAGCAGCTGTACCCACCAGAGCCCAAGTCGAGCGGGTGCAAGATATGGGCATACATAGCTTGCAGAGATATGGCCATGGCCATCTCGTCCACCCTAGGGACGATCATGACCCCAACTCCTTCCATTCACAGTTCGACTTCGGACAGAGCTGTGGCGTAGGTGGTTACCATTCACAGTTCGACTTTGGACAGAGCAGTGGTGGAGGTGATACTTCGGGCTCTACACAGGCAGAGGATTACTTCATCCATAACACCGCTCCCGGCCATACCCAGGATGACTCATCGTCTAGCCAGCTGACTCCACCGTCCTGAGACCCATTCACCACCATTCAGCATTACAGCAGGCGTCCGAGGCGTGTTTGTAGACGGATGAAGGACACATAGGATGGAGATCAGTTAACTCCAATACATGAGTCCGGATAATATTAGTTAGTTAATGTTTTTGTAGTACTCAGATATCTAACAATGTAGTATATAACGCTTACATTATTAATACAAGAAATGTTTTTTAAATGACTCTCTGTACAATTTGAAGTTTATTTCCCTTATTTGTCCGAATTTGAATTTTGTCAGTAAAACTAGATCTTCCATCGCCGTTATATATATCAAACAACATATATTTGGTCAGCTGCACTTAAAGTGCTGTTTCACGATAGTTGTAGTGCTGTTGGGGTTGTTTCCAGTGTTTGATGGTTGTCGGTGGTGGTGGGAAAGGTTGGGACTGGTGGTGGGAATGCTCTTGCATTGTTTAGAGTGTTTTGGATTGCATAGGGGTGGTCGAGAGTGGCGGCCGGTGGTGGTGGGGGAGGTGGTTGATGGTGGTGGGGTGGTGGTTGATGGTGGGGCTGAGGCTGAGGCTGCTGGGTGAGGGTGATGTGTAGGGGCAGCAGCAGATGGCAGGAACAGCAGCAGATGGCAGAAACAGGAGTTGGCTGCTGGTGATGCAGTCCAGCAGAAAAACGTTGCCTGAGGCAGCGTTTTATGGTCCACACACATACAATACGTGTATTTATACATACCAACAAGTCACCTACCATAAAACGCTGTCTCATACAGCGTTTTATGTCTTGAATTTTTTTTAAAAAAATTCTGGGTGTAAAACGCTGTCTGAGACAGCGTTTCACCCCATAAGTTTAGTTTGGGAAATACTTTCGCCACGAGACCAATTTGGTAATTACTTTGCCAATGAAGCTCACTTTGGTAAAAAGCCCCAAAAAATCATGATTCAACTTTTGCAACCACCCCAATAGTTAATGTTCATATATTTCAAATTTTAACAATAAATATAAATTTTATACAGATATATTTAACAACAATGTATATATATTAACAAAATTAATCTCATCTAATACATTTGCTCAGACATACAACCCTACAACTATTTAAAATATGTAACCCAAAATTGTATTGCTTTTTTTATGCTAATATGTTTTCAAAAAATATGTTAAGTCAATTTCAAGGAAATTCTTAGAACAGTTGAACAACTTAGAATACTCTTTGATTAAGGAGGACTTTCATTAGTTTATTGTAAGATGGATTAAAATTACCCTGAAATTATTTAAAGTTACCCTTATATATATATATATATATATATATATGTATATAAAATTTACCATTTTCCTAATATAAATTAGATAATGAATTATGATGTTCAATATTTTTTGATTAAAAATAATAATACAAATACTTTTATAATACGGTAATAATCTTTTTTTTTTTTTTAAAAAAACTAATCTATAATGGTATTTCACCTATTTTATCATTAAAATTTAGTTTTTATATAAAATTATTACCCGGGCGGGCTAAAAACTAATTTGGCTTAAATTACCAATTAGGATTAGGATTTGTATTTGTGTTATAATTTTTCCCCATTCTAATAATAATCATCTTTTTCTGTCATAAAAAAATAATCATCTTGCATACTACCTGTATTTATTACTATTATTGGATTTCCTGATGACTATAGGAGTACTACTCCTCCTCTGCTGCTCCTTTACTTTTAAAGCCCATCTTGTGTGTGGCTGGCCACACTGTGTGGCAACATGTAAAAGAACAAAGTTACCCCTATAACACTGATCAAGTAGCCCCTGTAACACTGATCGAGTAACCCCTATAACACTGACAAACTATCCCCTTTAACACTGACCAAATAATCCCTATTACACTAATGAAGTAACCCTTATAATGGTTGGCCACACCGTGTGGCCAGCCACATATAAAACTTTGTGTTACTTTTATGTATATACACTGATCTATGATTATCAAAATAGAATAAGTGAATAGTGAAAAATAAATTGTATAATTATCTCAATTGTTTTACCTTCTCATTAATTGATAAACGCAGCTGACCACAAATTCTTATATGTGGCTGGTCACACCGAGAGTTACTTTGTTAGTGTAATAGGGGTTACTTGGTCAATGTTAAAGGGGTTACTTCGTCAGTGGTAAGGGTTACTCAGTCAATGTTACAAGAGTTACTCGATTAGTATTACAGGGATTACTTAGTCAGTGTTATAAGAGTTACTTTGTTCTTTTATATGTGGACAGTCACACACAAGACGGGCTGCTAGCTCATTCGCACCTCACAAGATATAAAACTATCCTATATACAAGAATATACCAAATCATTGTATACAATTTTATCACATAATATTAGGAATATTCTCAATAGAAATCAATTTTGGGATTGTATATTTTTTCTGTAAACATAAATCTCGATTTTTAATCGCCAATTGCCATAATTTGTTAAATTAATTCCTGTTGTGGCACTAGACTTCTAGCTGGCTTGTTAAGGATTGACTAAGACAAAATCAATGTTCAAAGTTCAAAGGTAAAAATTGATAATAATAATAATAATAATAATAATAATAATAATAATAATAATAATAATAATAATAATAATAATAATAATAATAATAATAATAATAATAATAATAAAAGTACTAAAATCAAAGATGTCTTTCTTCTTCAAGAAAAAAAAAATTAAATTCAATGATGTCTACACAAATTATTTTTATTTTTAATTACCCACTTGTCCAGAATAGTTGATTTTAGATCAAATAACAGTAGTGGTATCTCTAAACAAGTAACATCTTGCATTTCAAACACTCAGAAATATTTGGTTAGAGAAAACTACTTGCAAAGAGAGAAAAATGGCTGAAGCAATAGTGTTTGGCGTTGCAAATGAAGTCCTGAAGAGTCTTGGATCAAAGGCTCTTGCTGTGATTGCCTCGGCTTGGGGCTTCAAGGATCGGCTCGAGAAGCTCAACGACACCATCAACACCCTTAAAGACGTGCTGCTGGATGCTGAAGAGAGGGAAGCTGATAATCGCCTTGATAGCCATGCTGTTCGTGGTTGGCTTCAAAGGCTTACCACTGTTGTCTATGATGCTGATGACTTGCTCGATGAGGTTGTTACCATTACCTCACAACAACAGCTCATTGACGGAAATAAGAAGGTGCAAACATTCTTCTCCCGTAACAACCAGATAGCCTTTGCCTTCCGTGTTTCCCGAAAGATTAAAATAATTCGGGAAAAGCTTGCTGTCATAGTCAGTGATGGTACACAGTTTAACTTTGTACGCTGTTCTTATGAGGAAGGAAGAGTAAAGAACAGGACTATGACACATTCTTTTGACGATGTTGAGGAAGTTATTGGTAGAGATGATTAAGAAAATCATCTTGGACATGCTGCTTTCCACTAATGATGACCATGAGCATTCGAATGATAGGCCCCGTCATCTCAATTGTGGGGATGGGAGGCTTGGGAAAGACAACTCTCGCTAAACTGATATTCAATGATCCTCAGGTTGAGGAATGCTTTGAGATGAGGCTATGGGTGTGTCTTTCAGAGGTCTTTGACATTGAGGAAATCACTGAGAAGATCCTCAAGTCAAAAACTAACACACAGATACCGAAGTTAGAGATGGAACAGCTGCCAGGTCAATTGCGGGATTTGCCGGAGAAAATCAGGGATAAAAAATACTTGCTTGTTTTGGATGATGTGTGGATTGAAGAACGTGCGAAATGGCTTGAGTTGAAGGCTCTATTGATGGTTGGTAGAAACTCTAAAAAGGGAAGTAAAATTGTGGTAACTACTCGATCAAGGAATGTGCCTATAATGATAGGAAGTTTTCCTCCTCATGAATTACAAGGTCTATCAGAGGAGAAGTCCTGGGAATTATTTGAAAAGATGGCATTCATCAATAAAGAAGCTCAACAAAACCCACAATTAGTGAAGGTAGGTAAGGAGATTGTTAAAAAGTGTGGGAAACTTCCTTTGGCCATAAGAACCGTAGGCAGCCTGCTTTATGGCAAGGATGAGAGAAAGTGGTTGTCAATCAAGAATACAAGTTTCGCAAAAATACCTGAGAGAAAAACAGATATTATGAGCATTCTTAGGCTTAGCTACAATCACCTAAGCTCGCCATTGAAAAATTGTTTTGCTTATTGCTCTTTGTTTCCAAAAGACACTGAGTTGAACAAAGAAATGTTGAAAGATCTTTGGATGGCAGAGTGTTTCATTATTCCAGAAAACAATGAAAACCAAAGTCTAGATGAAGCTGTAGAGGACTATTTTAGTCTAGATGAAGCCGCGGAGGACTACTTTCAAACTTTGCTGCAAAGGGGCTTTTTCCAAGATATAACAAAAAAATGCATGGGGTGATATTACGGGCTGCAAAATGCACGACTTGATGCATGATCTTGCTCAAAATGTGGCTGGAGTCACGTGCAAGTTTGCAAAGTCTGCAGAAAGCAATTTTAATGATAAAATCCTCCACTTGTCCTTTGCTTATCAGTGTACTTTCATGCCGGAAATCCCAAAAGGCATGCTTAATTTGAAGCGGCTGCGTACCTTTCTTTTGCCGGAGCAAATATATGATGGGTCTACCTTCAGCAAATCAATATGCAAACAGATAACAACGAGGTTTAGCTGCTTGCGGGTGTTGGATCTACATAATCTCCACCTCAAGAGTTTGCCCAGTTCAATTGGTAAGCTTATTCACTTGAGATTCCTCAATTTATCTCACACAGACATTGAAGAACTCCCTGATTCAATCACAAATCTTCATAATTTGCAAACACTAAATCTATATGAGTGTTTGCTGCTTAGAACACCACCAAAAGATATTAGAAAGCTTACCAATTTAAGGAACCTTAATGTTGCTTCTTGTTACAACTTAACTTACATGCCATCAGGGTTAGCAGGATTGACTTTGCTGAATAGGCTGCCGATGTTTATAGTAAATTATGAGTATTTGGCACACTTAAGGTACAAGCCCAACAGTACTACTAAATTGAGTGATCTAAAAGAACTCAATAACTTGAGAGGTGACCTTTATATTAAGATCCATAGAGATTTTGAGAAGAACATGCTAGAAGAAGCAATGGAAGCAAACTTGAGCAACAAACAATGGCTGACTGAATTGAGAATAACCTTTAACTTTGATTATATAGCTGATAATATTTGCAATTACCATGATGAAGATGTGCTAGAGGGCCTCAAACCACATTCTAATTTAAGGAAACTGTGGATTGAAAGGTACAAGGGTCAGAAGCTCCCAAGATGGGCGAGGGGTGATTTGTGTATAACTCTTCCTTCTTTGGTTGAAATTATACTTAAGAATTGTAATTGTCAACAAGTCCCTATCTTTAGTCAACTACGTTTCTTGAAGCGTCTTGAGATTATGTGTATGGATAATGTGGAATATATAGAGAATAATGGTGTGTGTGACACTTCCTATTTATCATCAAAATCGCAAGGGATGCAAACTCTATTCTTCCCATCTCTTGAAGTACTTAGGTTGACAGAAATGAAAAAATTAAAAGGATGGTGGAAAGTAGAAGAAATTGAGAGTACAAATGATTCAGAAAGTACATTGTCATCCGAATTAGTAGGGACATGCCAGCAATATGGTCATCATCAATTATCCATGCAAACTATATTCTTCCCATCTCTTGAAGAACTTAGGTTGAAAGCAATGAAAAAACTAAAAGGATGGTGGAAAGGAGTAGAAGCAATTGAGAATACAACTGATTCAGAAAGTACATTGTCATCCAAATTAGTAGGGACGGGCCAGCAATATGATCATCATCAACTATCCATGCAATTTTGTAATCTCTCAAAGTTACATATATTCAATTGTCCGGAATTGAAATTCCTGCCACTTTGTCCGAAAGTGGAGGTTTTGAGACTAATTGGCACCAATGAGAGGCTCTCAGTATTGAAGATGGCAACAAGTCTATCAACAACGACCGCATCTACTTCTTCTGGTTCGGGAAGGGCTGATTTGAAGTTGAAGAAGCTGACAATGGATAATGTGGAAGATCAACTTATGTCCCTCCCTAAACAATATCTGCAACATCTTTCTTCACTAATTGTTGCCTGTGATCGCAAGCTGGTGAACACTGAAAGTCTAGGAGAAGCGTTTCAAACTCTTATCTTTTTCTCTCCAATATTTGGAATTCGTGTGCTGTGATAAGTTGAGAAGCATATATCAAGGCCTGGAACATCTGACTGCATTGGAGAAGTTGACCTTTAGGAATTGTTCAATGCTTGATCTATTACCAATAAATGAACAACCAACTAGAGGGAGATGAAAATGACAGAAATATGATGCCATGGAAAGCCTTCAAAACTAATCTTCGCTCTTTAACATTTGTAGAAATTCCTGGACTGCTGGATCTTCCAAGCGGTGTTCAACATTTGTTGAACCTCCGTTATCTGATTCTAGCAAGAAATAATGGATTGATGATAATACCAGAATGGATAAGTTGTTTGTCCTGTCTTGAATATCTGTATTTGGGGGAATGTTACAACTTGACATATCTACCAAATTCCCTTCGCAAGCTCACCTCCCTAAACACACTCCGTATCATAAGATGTCCAAGATTGACAGAAAGATGTCGACGCCCAAATGGCCTTGATTGCCCCAAGTTTCAGCATGTCCCTATTGTTGTTGTAAGTGATTAGATATTTTAAAATACTGTTGTATGTTGGTACTTCAAACTCTCCTACTCCGTATGTAATATTATTGTATGCTAATAAATGTATTTTACCTTGGATTTAGTTTCGTTCTAGAGAACTTTGCAATGAATCAAGAGGTTTTTTTCATTATTTTTTTTGTAGGAAAATTTGTTAAAAATGTTCTTTTAAGTAGTCGACTTTGTAAATTCTAGCCTCTATTGTTAATTTTGAAGGGGTTTCCGTCAATCTTATTTGTTATGATATTAATTTCATATTTTTGCTTATTATGTTGATTACATTTTGTTATTATTTTGCATGATTATTGTGAATACCATTGTTCTTTTTAAAATTTTGATATTTATTGGATTATATATAATCTCAAGACTAATATGATAATGGTTGAAGATGATGATATTTATAAATTGCACTTATTATCATTATTAATTAGGCAAAATTGACCTTAATAGCACCAACACAGAGAATAACACAACCTTGTTCGGGTGCACTCTACAAATTGATATAAGCTAAGAGATAATTGATATCATCCAATACCTAAGTGATATCAGAACACACATGCCTGATATCATCCAACACATAAGTGATGATATAAGTTAACATATCGATGATATCAGCTAACATAGAACTGATCGATATATAAGCTAAGAGATGACTGATATCAGCTAACACAGACTTGATATCAGCTAAGAGATGACTAACATCATACAACACCTAAATGATATCATCTAACTTTGATATAATCCATAAGAAAGAAAAATAGCAGCCAATAGTTTTTCGGGGTTTTCTGATGTCCTGCGGGAGAGTTACAATTCCGAGACTGGAACCGGACGCCTGTACCTGCAAAACAACGGAGACTCCTGGTGGTGGGAGCTCCGCCTCCAACGGTCAAGTTAGTACTTGATTAAGGAGTAATTAATGCGGAAATTAAAGTGATTGGGTCTCTCTAGGTGAGAGTGTTTAATGTGAGTTTTTAGCGTAATCTGCTTTGTTAGCGTGATCAGCCTGTAACTCGTGTGTGTAATTAATGTCATCTCCCTTAATGAGGATTAAGGGAGGTATTTATAACCTTGGGAAACGTGCCAATCCTAGGTTTAGGTTAACCTAGGGCTGATTGGGCTTCCCTCGAAAGTTGGGCCTGGGTGGCCGGTTTCTCCATTAGGCATGGAGTATGCCACGTGTCATGACATAATAGGTCCAAGGTGGACAAATAAGCGGGTGCCATGTGGCAAGCCCTGACAGTTCCAACTGAGGGACACTTGGCAGGACCTGATTGGCCCACGTGGCGCATTCCGATTGGTGGGAGCAAAATCCCCTAATCATTTGCCCCTCACAGGTGGCACGTGACTGGTCACGTGTTACCTGTGACAGGTGTCACACTGTAATAGGCGACGGCCTGCTACAGGTGTCAGTCGGCGAAAGGCCGAGAGATTTTCCCGCCCAAATTTTGAATTCTGAAAGTGACCCTTTGCCTTCTCACTTCGCCTTTATAAAGGAGTGTTGACTTCAGTCATTTTCACTTGAGAACTTTTGAGAGAACATTCGGACCCCTGAACTTTCTCTGACATTTTGGACCCTTTTTGCCTACCGCCTGTTCTGACAAGCCGACTGCAAAGGATTTTCAGAACTTCATCAACCGTCACTCGTTCAGGTAACTGTCGGTTCTCTTACTCTTAATTTTCTTTTTATTCTTTTTTGAAATGGCACCACGGAAGCACACGACACGACCTAGGTTAGTGATCAGCCGGTCATCGGGGACGGCTGAATCTAGGACTAGGAGTGCCGCCTGCCCTTTTCCGGACCCATCTTTGCCCTTTATACAAAGTCCGACTGTATCTGTGTCTATGCAGAGCAGGATGGACAGAACAAAAAAGACTGCTAGGATCTCAAATTCAGACGGCTCCTCCCACAGGGTGCCGATTAGTGAAACATCTGACCAGGCGCCAGATGTGGAAGTAAAACAAAGCGGCCTGAAAGCCGGAAATTCTGAGGGAGGAGTCATAGTGACCCCTTCCCATTTTACAGTTAACAATTCTGCTCCTTTTCAAGGAGAGGAGGCGGGCCCCTCCGGGAGAGGGGAGGAGTCGTCCTCTTCGGACTCGTCAGAGGACGATTCCGAGTCTAGCTCTTCTGGCCATGCTTCTCTGGACACAGAAGAGAAAAACAGTCGCCTGCAAGAGGCGAGGCTTTCTCACGCAGTTGAGAAGGGGGAAAATTGGGCGGAGCCATCCGCCTCTTACCGAGAGCAAAATACCCCCTACTACTGCACGGTACCTCGGGGCCGGATCACGGCCATGCAAGAGAAAGTGGAGAGCTTTATCGCAAACCACACAATGGGCCCCGGCTTTTTAGTGTTTGTGCCGGATCCAGAAGACACAGTCGTCTGGCCGGCTGGTACCAGTTATGATAGCGCCTGCTTTGGCTGCTACGAGGCGGCCATCAAGGCTGGGTTGCGCTTCCCATTACATCCGGATGTTCAGCGGATCTTGGATGGGTATGAGTTGGGGTTATGGCAGTTAGCCCCGAACTCCTGGGTCAACGTACTCGGCTATGTGGCCGGGTGCGAACTGCACGGGGTGGAGCCGAGCTTCGAGGCTTTCGCCCACATGAACTACCTCAGCCGGACCCCTAAGGCAGGCGGTACCGGTTGGTATCAATTGACGAGCCACAGGGGCTACCTCATGACGGAGGTAAAGCAAACAAATGGAAGGACTGGCGGTGCACCTTCTTCATCATTGAGAGTTCAGACACAGAGCTGAACAAGCGCCTCAACAGGTGGAACAGGAATCCGCCCCTTCTTGCAGGCGGCCGCAGCATGCCGCCTGTTCCCCCCAAGGCTAAGAAAGAGATCCTGGATAAAGGACTCTTTAAAGTAGAGTCGAGGGTCGACTCTACTTCAGGGGTACGAGAGCAAGTACCCCTGCACTGCGTCCCGAGCTTCAAATGGCTCTACGACGAGTACTTTTTGGCCGCCTGTGGCCTCAGCAGTCGGTGCTCAAGAGGTAGTCGGCCTGTCGAATACTCTGTTGTTCCATACATTTCTTGTTATGACTTTTATTAACTTTGCTGTTTGTTTTTGCAGCTGACGCCATGAGCAAAATTACCGCCTCCAAGACTGCGGCGGCCATGTTGCGGGCCTCCATCATGCAACAAGCTTCAACCGACTCCCCCAAGAAGGGGGCACCCTTGGTGAGCTCCGAACCTTTCACCCTCTTTTTGGAGTTGTGTTTATGCATATACTAACTTTTTTCTTCTTTTTTAGACGGGTGCTCCAAGAGCTTCATCTTCCCAACAGCCGGACCCCAAGGCCCGGAGGACGACTGTTGCGAGCTCTCCTGGTTCTGCCAGGAAACATGTGGCGGCTGAGAAACAGCCGACCACTTCTTCTAAAACTCCAGCTGGGCCGCCTAGAAGTATGAAGTTGTCCTTGTAAATTTTAGACTTGCTCCCTTTTTACTAGGTCTAATCTGTTTGTTTATGCTTGATGCAGCCGGCCCTCAGGAGCCTGACTTGGTCGAGGTGGCCAAGTCTATGATCAAGGCCGTTCCTCCAGCTGAAAGGGAGGCGGTCAAGGGTGTCGGCACCCTTGACCTAGACGGGATTGCAAGGGTCCTTGCTGAGGTATATTTAGCATATTTTTGAGTATTTGAATTCCAAGACGCCTGTTTTCTTTTTGTTTGGAAACTGACGCCTGTTCCCCTTTTTACTTAGGCCCTGCTCCGAGTGAACGACCTTCGCAAGCCGCTTGACCGGAAGAACAAAGAGGTAAAGGCTGCAAAAGTTATGGCCGCCTCTGACTGTGATAAGGCAATGTTTCAAATTGCCCAAAATGAAGTTCTGACCATTGATATTCTTTATTATCAGGCGCAGGCTACCGCCGCTATCCGGGCTCAGTTAGAGGCGGCCCAGAAGAGGAATAGCGGGCTGGAGGCGACCATCAAAAACCTCAAGGCCGAGCTGAGACCTCTTCGCCAAAAGATGTCCTCGTACGAAACCTTGGAGAAATCCTTAGCGAGCGTAAAGGAACGCCTGGTGACCCAGGAGAAGAGTCTTACTCAGGAGCTCTCGGAAAAGGCCGAGTAAGAAAAGAAAGAGCTGGTCCGGGAGATGATGGAAGACTCTGCTCAAATCCAGCGCATGACTTGGGGCCGCCTCTTCCCCAATGCCGACTTTGCCTCATGGGAAAAAACGTACCGCCAGTGTTCTGATACATATAATCAAGAGATCCTGGCGGCTGCTGAGGAAGAGGCGTTGGAGGAAGCGTTGGAGGAGGAGGAGCCGGTAGTGGCGCTTGTGCCGCTTGGGGGTAATGCATCAAAGAAGAATGTAGCTGAAGCCGAGTCCAGCAAGAAGAGTGCTGACCAGGCGGCAGCTGCTAATATTGAAGATCTGCCCCCTTCTTAAGCTTTATGTATTCTTTCCACGGCCTGCGTGCCGTTTGTTTTGTATTTACCCGGCCAGGGGGCCGGGGCTCTGAATATTTTGCCGGTCTTTAAT